TTAAACTGATTTCGATATAATGTTTCCACGAAAAATAAAATTTAGCAATGTTCACAAAAAACAAAACAAAACAAAACAATAAAACGACTAATCATACTCCAGAGAGAGAAAAAAAAACGATTTTATGCGAATCCGGCGTAAGCCGAAATGTTGGGTTTAAATAAAATAGTCTTTTTTTCTGGAATGTGATTAGTCGCTTTTTTTGTAAACGTGGCTTCAATTTTCCAGTCTGCTTTGCTGTTTAAAAACTAAAATTTTGAAATATTTTGCCATATGCTGTGACTCATGAGAAAAAAAAAAAGCATTTAAAAATATTGCTGTAAATCAGACCTTCATAATACGCTCACCACACCTGTAATTTAGTCACCCCAAATTATCTGTGGAAATACCCGAGTAAACAGTAACGCTATCAGTTCGCAAACAAGTTTTATTTCGGAGCTGTAAACAGGAAAGCACAACACTAACTGGTTGTTGAAAGTGCCGGAACTAAGTTTTAATTCCACGACCACTGAACGATAATAAGATTATGGCAATACCCTCTACCGCTGGTAATGACAGCGTGTAACCTGACTCATCATCACACAATTACAAATCTAGCATTATAATAAGTCATATTCAGTGTAACTTTGAATACTCATTCTACATCTAGAATTTATTAATGATATTTTCAGATAGCACTTCATTAACCCTTAAAGTACAAAAACTGTTTATATACTGTTCACCACAAATGGGTTCGAAACCACATACCGCCATTATATTGTGTAATTTTACACTTCTTTTTTTGTCGGTTACAATACTTAAATTAAACAACAAAAAGGTAAACCGTTACTGTCTTACATAAATTACACAGGTAACCCCCAACAACAGTTTTGGATTAATCACAATATTGATAATACTTTTATTTATTTTTCATTTTGGGACCCTGCAATCAACGGAGTTATGGACCCACAAACTACTTAGTGCCTAAATAGCTTATAAAAATGTGCTTGATAAGATGATGGGAACCCATAGTCGATTCTAGGGTTAAATATTGAACGAACTGACACTATATTTCAGATAGCCCAAGGAAACGGAATAATCAACAGGATTAAATTCAAAGACAACCAACCTATCACAACACTAATACCATATAGTTTTAATCTAAACCGTCTGATTTTTATCAGCTATTAAAGTTGTAGCAGAGTTAGCAGTAAATTAATAAAATGTGAAAATTGTCTTTTGTATCTCACGTCAAACAGCCTTAAATCTAGAAATTAACTTTGTAGATTCCACGTGTGCTAACCAGAACTACAATTAACATGCTAAAGTTAAACTTCTAAATGTACTGGTAGTAATCTGCCCAATTGATGCCACACAACTTCCTTCAAAGTATTAGCTAGAATCTACTTTGTATCATGGTTTCCTGTCAGTTGTGAGTCTCGTATAAATGAGACCCTTCCGTGATACCTTGACTCCTCAGAGGACCTGGTCAGGATGCGTATATATAACAGTTTATAGGTGAAAGCGAGGCTTATCGACACTTTTATAAAATAATTTAATTTCATTGGTTGATTGGAAGCATATGATCCAAGACACTGAAAATGATTGCTGATCCCGAAGTACTAGTTAAAGTTGTGTTGACATATTTTAAGTTAAATATAAACTTAAGACCTTTAAAGAAACTATGTTTGAAATACTTGTTGCTTGGTCCAGCTGTTTTTGCTGATTTACCTACCAATAAGTCCAGAGAACTTACTCAGTGATAAGTGGAGACAGCGAATGTTAACATACTATTACAGCAACAGTCATTGTAACCTTTAGCAGTCCTTTGAATGAGTAAGTCTGTGTACATATCCCCTTCTTCAAAACTGTTATCTGTATGGCAATGATATTTATGTTTACGTCTTTGAATTTTTGTCAGTGTTGAGGTTTTGTTGGCGAATGAAGTCATTTTGCTCTTAGATATCTTCTTTCCTATAAAATTCAAACACACCTTCAACACACATTTATTTCATTATTGTAGACTTTTAATAAAAACACTTGGCGAGTACAATTTGATACTGTAGTCAAAAAAGGCAAGCATATTTAATACTGTACTGAGTATTAAATATGATGGTTTCTGTTCAATATTGAAATGTTGATAAATCAATACGCATTGTAAAATATATTTTTGTGTATTTGGTATGGGAAATTTTATCACTTACAGAAATACAATTTAATGAATTAAGTTTTCCCACAATAAAAAATATTCAACTAAAATTCTACAAAACTTTCATTAATGCCGCAGTAATCACATGTAATATACTTGTTGATTGTGATGCTTTTGGCGAGAAGATAAGCCCAATAAACATTTGTACTTTTCTTTTTAGGTGGGGTTTTTTGTTATCATTAGTTTTTCATAAGTTAACACTTATATTTTCTGTGATTTTTAATAGACTAAATCACATAAATTGTCAGTTTTTGGCCGATAACCAACAACTCTAACTAACAGTCTTCACAACATATGCATAACAGCTACCACAACCAAAATTGCTGGCGTTTTGGAACAATATTTTACAAAAACTTGAAGCTAATTCGTAGCTTGGTCTTTTCCCCCTAATTTATGTTATATATATAAATATATAATACTCTTAATTTGATTTCGAAGTACAAAAAACGTATGCATTGATATCTGGAATTACACCATACTTTTACAGAAATCGCCATTTGTAAAGGATGCAATGCGCCCTCTATTGACAAGACTTTATTTACAACTTGACCGAACTCGCTCGTTAGTAACGCGAGGGATTCACGTGAAAGGTTGATATGACTGAGAATAATCACTTTTGATTTGGAAAACAGTTTCACTCACACGTTTCATTTGTTGTACCCAAACGTATAGTATATCTCCAGTTAATTTTCACCCAAAGTTTCTTCACAGTTGTTAAACTAAGGATATCATACACCTAACTGTTGGTTTTCTTTTTTTTTATTGATTAATATAATAATAGTACTTTAAGCACACGCAAGTTTGAGAAACGGCACCACCACACACCAAATACTTCAATTTTTGTGTATATGTTCTTTCCTACTTGTTTTGATATTAAATAAAAAAAGAAAAGTGAAAGTCTCATTTATATTGGAAGAGTTTTATTCAAAAATTAATCAATAATCGCTTAACTTGCGATTTTTAAACGTATTTGAAACTTAAAAAGATTTTGTGTTCAAAACCTTCAGGGATTACGAACATGCCAGATTTTTTTTTTTTAATGTAAATACTTGGCAGTTCTTTGTGGAACTAAAATAACTTTCAAAAGGTATAGTTACAACAAAGAATCCTGTACTGAAAAAAATACAATATAACTGTTATAAAACTTGTATACAGTGATTTGTATGAAAAATTCGACTGCAATATTTTATCTGATGAAGTCACTCAAAGGTTACTTATGAACATATGTCATTGACACTATACAGTATAACCTCTGACCTCGTTTCTCAAGGTCAGACATATCGTGACGACTTGAGCATCAACAGGGACAGCCTAGACCGATGTTCTACTCTAATTTAACTGCACTAATGTCTATCAAGTGAGCTGTAAAAACAATGACATGTACTGCGTTTCATAATGTACACAATGGAGCCTTGTTGTGCGGGATTCAATATGGAGACAGTGAGGTTATAGACTGAAAGACATCGGCTTATGTGACATAGTTGGGCAAGGCATAGCTTAACAGCAAATAAATCTAATAAAAGAATTTTTTGGAAAGCCAGTGACCTCTACAAACGCAAAACTAATACATAATAGAAGCTACTTATTAACTGCACCCTCATGCGAAAGAAGAGAGAACTTCCTCACCATGCCAAGCACTGTATCCACCCACCATGTAAAAAGAGGAGATTAATATCCCAAGTACTGTGTTATTAAGTAAGTATTACTGAAATAAACAGTCTGCCAAAACTAAGTTTACATTATGAGATTAGAAGAACCTAAGAAGATCACTGATAGTGGAAAGTCTGTTAATGTCTTACAAGAAGTCACTTCAAAAATAAGGTTACAAAGTTTGTTTGTTTTTTCACAAAAGTTCCACACTTGTAAGTCCTAGAATGTTTCTTATAATTCATACAGTTATGAAATTTTTATACATTCACAATATACAAACACCTGACCTAGTGTCATTTTCATGGTGTAACTATTTTTTCTTTTCTTGGGGATTTAACACAGAAGTCTTTTCAATTTTTTTAAAATTAATCTAAACTCTTAATAAAGGAAAACCTTAATATTAATTTTGTTTCTTCCCACAGAAACAATAAAAATCAATTTAGATAGTAATACAGAATAACAGAAATGGTGGCACACCACCATTATCTCCACAACTGTTTGAAGTGTGCATTGTTGGTGTCAAGACACAATGCAGCAATAGGATTACTTCCATATCTTCTCACAAGGCTAATGACATCCTAACCAATTATTGAACCAAGAAAAAAAAAGTTAAATAGAAATATGACATAGACAAATCACAGTAAAAGAGGGACCTAGAAATATCATGGTGGTGAGTGACTTCTACATCACCCTGTATATGTTTTTATCATCCAATGTTATGTTAAACAGGAGTCATCATATTTTGTTACAAGCATACAATGTATTTCTTTTTTATTCTCAAAGAATATTAAAAACAGTAAGAACAAAGTAAATTATATTAACTACTGATGAAAGCAAGCTATCTACATAGAGGAATGATATTTTCAGTCGTCAATCATAATATATACAAGCATATAATAGGAGAATGTTTAAAATTACTTTTGATGCATTATCACCTTTGAGAGGAAAATGTGCACAAGCTCATTCAACAGCCAGTGCTACCTACCTCCACTATTTCAAAACATTGAACATGTTAAAAAAATCACCAAATACATAGATCAACAAAGAGCATATCATGTTATATGAACAATATGAAATTAGCTAATAATTAAAAGTAATATTAGTTAATGGGTTGAATTTATAGTGAACCTAAAATACAAATGTATTGAATCTTTTCACTTACCCCAGACTTCTTGGACGAGATTAGTTGAGAATGCTCAACATCCTCAGGTTCAACATTCTTTATGTGAGGACTTGTTTGTTCCTTCCATTGGGCCTGTTCATTCTTCGACTTCGATCCAAGAGGTACTTTCTGGGGCACTTCTTTCATTGCTGGGATAGCTTTGGCTTTACTTTTAGAAGATTCTTTAAAAGAAGGACTGTTATTGTTGAGTTGAGAAGTAGATATATTCAGTGTTTCTTCAGTAGATGAGGTGGTTTGGTGACATAATGGCTTTGGAACACTCCAGTCCCCATTAGATAAACAGTTAGCAGTATTGTTCCCGTGAAGAGAATAACCTGGCTCACACTGAAATGCAATGCTTGACTCCACTGTAAAACTATAACCAATAACTTTTCCATTGAGAAGTTGACCTGGATCAGGACAAGTTGTTTCAATGCTAGTATACATCAGGTGAAATCCAGCCTCTTGCCTATATTTAGTGTCTGCTTCTGTAGAATAGGTCACAATCAATTTGTTAGTTCTTGTTGTAATCACATTAGTCTTTCTATCCAAAATGGAGGTTATGTTTGCTATGACTGAACTGATGTTGCCATCATAGAGGTAAAGCTGAGCATGATTTAAATGTTGATTTTCTGGGAATTTTATCCATTTAACTGTGACTCTGATCTGTTTCCCAATTTCTGCAGTAACTTCCCATCTACATTGTTGTGATGATAACAAGACATGAGATGCATAACCGGGGTTGACAATAGACCCCAAACCTGCCCTTTTATGAACTGTTTCACCATTGCAGTTTGGAACAACACAGGAAGGGGTTTTTCCAGTCCACTGAGGAACAGGAGAATGCTCAGAAATCAAGCAATGAGATTCACTTGTTCCAACTAGTTCATAAGGAGGATTACATTTATAGTGTATACTCTGACCCACTTTTCTCTCTTTACCTTCAATGTACCCATTTTCTGGAGTTTTGGCTCTGTCACACACATAAGGGTCAAATGCTTTGAATCGTATCTGAAAAGCTCCAGTTGTATCAGAGTCAGATGAAAAAGAATTATTTACATGTATTGATGGTATTATGGCTGACGTGTAAACTACTCGTAATAATTCTCCTGAAACTTCCTCAGATAAACACTTGACACAACTTCTGGGAATATGAAACCATTTATCATCAAGATATATATGTAGTGAAGAGCTTCTCAGATCCAAAGGTGGAAGATGGACACTGTCTACCTTCAGCAGAAACTGAAGTCCTGATGGTGCAGTGTATCTCCAGTTGCAACTAATGTTCTCAATATTTCCACCAACAAATTTTGGTAAATGGATCACACCACTTTCTACTTCATGACCAACATCTCCACATTTATCACATGTACTTAAGTTTACCAGCACAAAACACAATGAGATACTACATGTAAAATATTGGCAAAAACCAGAAACACCCATTGTTTAATAAACTTTCTGTCTCCACATACAAAAATGTCACAACTGAAACTATCTTATATTTATTCACCATTTACGTTACTGCAATATGAACTTTACACAGCCAGGAACAAACGAGTCTAGGTAGACTAAAACAAGATTGCTTTATCTTATCTGGAAGGCAAGTGTTATCATATGGAATTCCTACACAAAAAGAAAACCTAACAGTTAATGAGCAATACAAATCATGATCTATGAGGTAACAAAGACCTTTCTGTTGTTTCACACCACTTAAATAAGAGTAGCTTCAAAAAACGTTAAAATATGATTATAGTAAAATAATAAAATTCAAAATAAGCTTGTCGAGTCTAACATTAAGTGAGTTAGCAAGTAATGTGTGTATTAGTATTTTTGAAACCATATAATGCATAAAAATGGCTTTTAAGTTATCCTAATTGAATAATATATATATTGAATGATTGCAATAAAAGAAACAATGGTAAATATTATTTTGATATAAATATATTAAAGCACAACTACAATCCTCAGATTGATTTCAATTCCTCTTTAACTTTTCTTTATTATGGATTGTTACATTAATTTTTTCTTTGATCCCAAACTTTACAAGATTTTTCATTATATTAACTTAGTCTCTAGCAGGAGAAAAACACCTATAAAATAGTTTTCGTATACGTAAATTGTTCAATTTTTAGATTGTTACTTGTAAAACTAAATGAACATGGTATATGGAATACTGAAATTAGTTTTAACTTAATTAATTAACTAGTATTTTCGCCTTTAATTATGCTAGAAAATACAAGATACATTTTTACTACAACCTATACAAGAGCAAATTTTTTTCTTAATCCAGAATTTAGCATGTAAAGCTAATATTGCGATTTACTTATTATATTTTAAGTTTACAGGCAACTTTTTGCATAATACATAATAGTATTAGTAATTATAACTGCACAACACTTGAGTAGAACTAGAAATAAAAAGTAAGCCCTATTTTCTAAACTGATTATGAACGAAGGTAGTGGAATAGATACGTTAAACATAAATTTCCTTTAGTTCAACTTAAAGTTTAAAAGAAGTTCAGGTAAAACTAAAATGAAAATCTAAAAATGATACGGCTTATAAATATAAGACTTAAGAGTCAAACTCGTCTTAGATAAACCTTCAAGTTCAAGTTTATTAACAGTTTCTGCTAATACAGAAGTAAAAGTAGAATTAATTACTACAATCGTCAAAACAAAATATTTGAAATATTTGTGACAATTATATATCTAAGTCGTACGAATTAAGCGTGTTAAAAATGAAAGTATAAAACTTAAGAGCGTCTATGGTATATTACTATATTAGTATTATAACTTAAGTATAACAGAGTTTGAGGAAATTTTCTATGTAGGCCTACCTCAATTTTCACTAAAAGTAAAACACGTTGTCTTTAAGTTGAACCATTCCTTCCATCTGCCATCCACTTCCTGATACAATGACAACACAAAATAAAGTGTCTGAGTAAGCCTAGGCCTACAGCTCGACTCTGTTTCTTAGTAGTATAACGTTAAGTCCTAGTACACTCATACCATTTTACAATACAAACTTGGCCACTCACGTCACGCAAGTTGATTTATTTTCTTGTCCTCTTTCGACTTTCCTTTGACGCCATTACATAGCTAGTTTCTGCCATCTAGTGGTAAAAATAACAACAGCAAAATAGGCACTCGATGTTGTTTTATGCAGTAAATAAACATAATGAAATGCTCTACATGGTTATAATATTTGCAAGCATTGTTTTATATTTCTTAACAGCCTCTGCATGATTAAGAGCTTTAAAAATTATATCGTTTAAAGATTAAGGAGTATATATAGTGGATTAAAATATTCATAGCTTTCACTAACTCTACAAGTATTTGTGCATCTTAAATATTACTTGGTGAAGATATTACCAACTTTCGTAAGCAAACTAAACAGCTTGATATACTAAATATATATCATTGCAGCCTTTCAAAAAGCACTGGATAATTTCAGTTCAACGTGGTGAAAATGTTATCAACTTTGGAAAACAATATTGTTTTTCTGCGTATGTTTTTGTTGCTGTTGTTGTTTTAAATGAGAATTTTATGTTATATCGACCCATTATTTGTAAATAAACCTTTGTACACATTTTACGTTACATTAACATAACATAAATAGCCCATTGTGTAGCTTTGTGCTTAACTACAAACAAACATAACATTTTAAAAATCAAATTAAAAAAGAAAAAAAAACTTCTACCAAGTAAAACTTGATATATAAAAGTTTAATCATCTCGGGCCATTTATGAAATATGCGCAGCACGTGCCCCTAAGTTGTGTTAATTGCGGTTACTAGTACACAGTAGTTATACTTCTTTTCTAAAGAACGAACAAAATGTTTCAAGGTGTTTCAATAAGCTATTCACAACATACAGTTTTTTTTATTTATGGCTTTATGTAGTATTAGCCTATTTTAAAACTGATTAACCATCCTTAAGATTAATAAAAAACCTTTTTGTTTATTGAACACTTTGCACTTCTCTTCGAGAATTTCGTACATAGATGCAAATTTTAATGTTTTCATCAGTTTCTCTTCTTTTGCACCATCGTTGTCATATTAACGACAAACACGTGAAAGAGGAAAACACTGATCACAAATATTATTGAATATTATGTTACACCACCCATTGCATTAAAAATGCGAAAATTCTGTAATGCTAAATTATATTATGATTTATCTATTTTTTGGAACCCAAATATAACTTTTTTGGGGGAGGGGGAGGAGACCTGAATAGAGCTACAATTTAGTTATTTTTTTAACCCGAATAGAAGTATAATTTTACTGAATCTCGAAAGTACTTACCAATTAATTCATTGATTGTTTGTAGTTAAGCACAAAGCTACACGAGTAGCGCTCTGCCCACCACGAGTATCAAAACCCAGTTTATAGCGTTGTAAGTCCGCAGACATACAGCTTACCAATTAAAAGTTCAGTGTAATACTTTTAATGACTTCATCTTCCCTTCAACAAGAATAAAAAAGTTAAAGAATTTCGAAAAACGAAATAAGTTGAATGTTAAAACCTAATGTTTCTAGAAACCTTTTAAACAATATGTTTAATTTCAAGACATAAAGTAAATCAAATGTTATTTTGCTTTAATGATGATAATTAGTGCGAGATATACAACTATATAGTTAGATTCCTCGTTGATATCAACCACTGAAAGCTTTAATTTGATAATGATAACATAATAAATGGTAATGAAATAACATGCACCATTCGATCATTACAATGATTCATTTTTTACTTCAACTACGCTTCACAACTGTTTGGTAAAATGACTATTTGAAATTTTATAAAAAGTGTCACAGTAAAACAATTGTTTGTAGTCAAAGTGAAACAGAAATTTTTCATGATGAATACTTTTTAAGGAACTAATGTATTTGAAACATGAATCTGAGCTACTAAACACAAAAGGCCTCTCACCCAACTCACTATTGTCTTTATTAGATAAAAACTCTTACTTGTAAGATAGTAAAAGTTGCAAATCAGTCTCATTCTAACAATCTATTTCAACATTTATTTTTACGTATTGGAGTTGTGTTATATTCATACAGATACATACACATAAAAAGCTCGTAAATGAGTCTTTCATAAAAAAATAAAATAATACGATGACTTAGTTACATAAATTCATTAGCTATTGTCCGGTCTTTCGGAAACCAACGAAAGCAGCTATATTATCTTTTGTTTTGTCCTTACGGATATAAAGGAAGTAATTATACAAACTTTTGTTTTGTCCTTACGGATATAAAGAAAGTAATTATACAAACTTTTGTTTTGTCCTTTACGGATATAAAGAAAGTAATTACACAAACTTTTGTTTTGTCCTGACGGATATAAAGAAAGTAATTATACAAACTTTTGTTTTGTCCTTACGGATATAAAGAAAGTAATTATACAAACTTTTGTTTTGTCCTTACGGATATAAAGAAAGTAATTATACAAACTTTTGTTTTGTCCTCGAGGTTACAAACAGTAGTATTCACAAACCTCTTCTCTATTTTTACGGAAATAATCAGAACTAGCTGTTATCAATATAAAAGGAAGTAGTTACAGAACCTCTTGGTTTTCGCTGTATGTGTAGAATCGGAAGTAGGCTATATAACCTATAGTATATGAAACATATCTCCAGCTTCTCTGGGAAAGAATATTTTATTATTGAACTCTTTCTCGGTAAGAGCGCATTAATGGTTTGTTTGTTTTAAAGCAAAGCCACATTAGGCTATCTGCTGTTTCCACTGCAAGTAATTTAACCTCGGATTTAGCAACTTAAGCCCGTAAATTTACTGTTGTCCTACCGGGCAACGGGCAGTAATGGATTGTACTTTTTCCCATAGAGAAGGAGATTATGTATTATTTGTTTTCTGTAAATGTTTGTTGCTATGTATTATAACCTCTTCTCAGTTTTATGGATTCAGTTAGAAGTAGCTACATAACCTTTTGTTTGTCCTTATTTAGACAAGCAACAGTGATAAGCTTCTTACCTGTTGTCATGGGTACAAACGAAAGTAGCTGTATGACTTTTCTTCTGTTGTTATGAGTACGAGCTGGATTAGCTACATTTTTTTTTGTTCGTCGTAATACAGGCAAAAGAACAGTTACATAATTTATTTACAAAATGAATAAAACCTGGTGCCACACACATATTGTATTTTAAACAATAAAATGAATGCATCTGTCATTTTCTAATAAATATAACTAGATTTCTTTGTAATATCTAGTTGGCATGGCATGTCTCACACAAACGTAATCAGACTTTGTTTGTGATATAAGCAAAAGCTTAAATTATATATTACAAATTATCTTATTCAATAATTAAGAAGTTTCTATAGTCAATATCTCCTTTTCAATCAAAAGCGTATTCAGATTATCACAATAGCATCTGTGTTCTGAAATCAACAAGTACAAAGGCACCATATAAACATAGTAAGTACCAGTTCCCATTGGAAACGATGTTTTGCGTTGTCTCTGATTCATTGAATCAAGCAAACGTACTGTTATTCTGTTCTTGTTTATCAGAAGTAAATACGTTTTAATTTTCTGAAAAAGTAATGCTTATGTGCGGAACGTTCTCTAGCAACTGTTTCTATCAGTGACTAGAACTTCTTTGTTTTCTTCGTCCACTACCGGGATTATCAAACAGATGTTGGAGAAATATGTTTACATTTACTACAAAACTCGAAAAACTATGTCTAAGATTTTTATCATTGTTTCAGCACGTATGCTTTATTTTGAATGATCGTATCTTTATTAGCTGATTATGTGACAATTAATCATTACATCAAAATTATTGTTCATTATTATCGTTTAGATTTATCTTTTCTACAACTGAAATTACTTACAAATCCATGAATCTTCTCATTTCTTGAACTAAGATGGTATTTTGCGCATTTATTTATTTATAAAAAAGCTATTTTCCTTTTACCCAGAGTTCTGAATATTTAGTTTAAAACAAATTACTATGAAACATAACCGAAATCTTAGAGAAAATGCTTAATTTTATCGATATCAAACCCTCAAGTATAGCTCAAGTATGCAAATTTTAAAAATGGCTGTATTTTAATCTCTGATACTGAACCTAAATTTGTACTTAAAGAATGCAACAACAATGAAAGAAAAAAAACCCGTAATTTTAATGACAGGTATCTAGCAGTTTAAAATCCGTAAATTATATTGATTAGATACTATTCGTTAAGCTCGACATGGCCAGGTGGATAAGGCGCTCGACTCGCAATCTGAGGGTCGCGGGTTCGAATCCCCGTCCCACCAAA